TTTTTTTTTTTTTTTTTTTTTTTTTTTTTGTGCTGAAGTTCAAACCTAGGGACTTACACAAGCTATGCAAGTGCTCTAAGGCTGAGTTACTCCTCCAGCCCCTAAATAAAATTTGTGAAGAGACTACCAGTTTACCAGTATAAACCCCAGGAGTCCGACCTTTTGGCTTGCCTCGCTTGCTGGCTTGTGCTGCATGAAGAGGAATTGTCTTGGACCTTCACATACTAAATATGTAATATAGTTAATGTATATGAATAACAAAATTTTCTTCTCTGTATTTTTATTATAGCATTAAAAAAAGAGGGCAACATTAAACATAAAACTAGTGGGGTATTTGAAATTATTTTGTCAAAGCACCACATCAGCGACTGCTCCACTGTTGCCTTGGCAGCCTGCTCCAGAGCACCATGCAGTGGAGTCATGAAAACTATCACTAAAAATCACGTAATGGTGTTCAAAGTTTATGATCCTATGGAGCCACAGAACTAGCTATCCAGGGAAACATGGAGACAACCGGCGAGGGGTTGGACATACCTGTAAAGAAAAGAGTTTTTAAAATATGTACATTTGCTAAAATTGAATAGTAATTGGGGGGCACTCACCATGTCTGGATGGCTACTTGTGTGAAGCAAAACTGCCCCTAGAGATATCAAAAGCTGCTATTTCACACCAAATCTTCCACGTGCCCGGCACTGTCTGAGTGTGTCATATTTTCTAAGCTCATTCTCACCTCAGCTCTTTCCTCTTTACAGATGAGCAAACCCAGGCTCAAAAAGTGTGCTCTCTGTCCAGGAGCTAACTTGACCCCGTGTTGTACTGTCCCTAGGACCCAGTGTCACAGCCTGTCATACAGTGTACCCACTCTAGAAGTTTCTTCACCTTGGGCCTGCAGACCTCAAGAGGTTCCCAGATTCCCAAATGGGAAGTCTTCGCTAACTTCTGGTTGACATTTAACACTGAATGCAGACCACAGACCACGGTTGGATTAACATCACCTTGACTTTGTCATCATGAAAACCACAGATATTTTTATTTGCAATTGTTGAAATCCCTCCACTCAAATGCAATCAAAAGTATAATAGTTATTAAATTGAGCTGTTACAGGTCTTGTTATTTTATGCATTCATAAAGAGGTACATAAATTATTGCAACATAATTTGTTCGTATTCTGATACCTGTACTTCAATATGTCAGTTTCCTTTTGGGCTCCAGCCTTTTATTTTATATATTTAAAAACAATTTCGATAGTACACAAGATCCTAATGAGATAATTGACCATGTGAAATAGGAAGAAAAGGGCTAAAGGTGTAGGGAAAGTGGGAAGGGTAGGGGAAAGGTAATGAGGGAAAAGAAAAAAATATGAGAAAATGAAAAAATGGAAATAAAGTGTTTGTAAATGGGG